ATCCCCCAGGCTAGGATCAGTCCAAGCATTCAGTTCCTTCAAGGACACCATTATATGGATCCAGGTCAAATGCTAGCAACTTCCTAAATACATAAAATACAAAACTTCGGCATAATAGTTTGCAGTTAATAGTCTGTAACAGATGAAAATAAAAAAAGCAAAGCAAGCAGTTTTGATATTTTTCCATTTGAAAGGTTGACATAGCTGAAGAATTGCTAAAGAGTGAAAAATCAATGTGAAAATAATAGACTCATAGTTACTTTAGACTTCAGCACAATCACACGTATGCAGACTGAAACTCATAATTAGCTGTCATTTATTTTTTTTTTGGAAAAAGCTGAGTAGGCATTATTTGTACTATGATGCAACTCACATATGTAACTGGCAATTTAATGCAATTGCTCATCGTTAAGATTAATTCACACACCATGCTATGCTAGCCAGTATTCGCTTTAATTGACATTTGTTGATTAAGGCAGGACCCTATTTTATTTATAATCCTAACCTATAAATCACAATGATTTGATATCTTTCAAAGTGAACCAAACTACATTAAGCAAGATTTAGCATAAAGTGTGAACACAACTTAAGCACTTTGACGCTGGAAATATCTAGTCATATTCTGCAAAAAAAAAAAATTGTTCATTTTAAGATGCTATTACACTATCTTTGCTACGTTACACTAACACAGCTTAGAGGTATGAATTAATGTATCTTAATTAATTACATCTGTGTCAGATTTCTTCTTTTTAACCAGTATCTGTTAATACTAATTGCACTTTTCTTCCCTTTTTGTTTCTTCTGATGTGAATAATATAGATTGCAAGCAGTTAGAGATGTATATTCTATTTCTTTGTAAAATGTTATTCATAGAGGCTGAATTTATATAATATAATGTTTCAATTCAGGCAACACTGTAAGCCAAAACAAAAACTACATTATGATGTAACATATGTGAAGCCAATCTCTGCTATAAAATTTAAATAAAGCTGCCCCAAATTGCTCCAATTAAAGTCTCAAAATAAGATCAATCTTCAATGAGGTATATTTATATTCTATTCCTTTAAAACTTAAGTGGTTGCTCTATATTCATAAGCTCTCATCCATTTTAATAGTCAAGACATTTACAAATACAGGTAGTCCTTGACATATGACATTTGAACCCAAAATTTATGTTGCTAAGCAAAACATTTGTTAAGTGAGTTTTGCCCCATTTTATAACCTTTCTTGACCCAGTTGTTCAGTGAATCTGGCTTCCCCATTGATTCTGCTTGTCAGGTGGTTTCAAAAGGTGATCACATGACCCCAGGACATGGCAACTGTCATAAATACATGCCAAGTTAAGAAGGATCCAAATTTCAATCACATGACCATGGGGATGCTGCGATGGTCGTATATATGAAAAACAGTCGTAAGTCACTTTTTTCAGAACTGCTGTAACTTTGAACAGTCACTAAACAAGTGGTTGCAAATGGCAATGACATGGCTGGTTGTAAGTTGAGGACTAGCTATAAAGGGCACAATCCAATGGCAGTGTTTTACTGATATAATTGTTCTCAGCAAAACTAAAGGAATTACAGATAGTCCTTGGCTTACAACCATTCATTTAGGGATCAAAGTTACAACAACATTGAAAAAACTGACTTATGACTGATCCCGACACATATAACCATCACAGCAATCCCACAGCACACGATCAAAATTTGGGTGCTTATATTTTTGTAAGCCGCCTTGAGTCACCACGTGTGAATAGGCAGCAATATAAACCTCCTAAATAAATAAATAAAACAGCATTTATTTATGATGGTCGCAGCATCACAGAGTCATGTGATTGCCATCTGCAACCTTCCCAGCCGGCTTCTGACAAGTAAAGATAATGGGAGAAGCTAGATTTGCTTAATGACCATGTGATTCACTTAATAACTGCAATGATTTGCTTGTCAACCGTGGCAAATAGGTCATAAAATACAGTGCAACTCGCTGAAAAACTACCTGGCTTAGCAATGGAAATTTTGGGCCCAACTGTGGTTGTAAATCAAGGAGTACCTCCACATCACGTAATTTTTACTTGAAGGATATGCAATCTTCCAGAACATCATATATGTCATATAAATGTGTAGCGTGGCAGTTCTCTTCAAGTTCCACTGAGACATGTGCATCTGTTAGCTGCTAATTACAAACTGCTAATTAGCACCTCCCCCCAAAAAAAGCTAGGAGTAACTGACTGTATCATCACAATGCAATGCAACATGGTTATTTAGTACCACTCTACAGAAGTATGCCTCCTTTCCAGTTTTGTTTATCGGGGCTAAAAGTTATTGAAGAAACTTGTAGTCTACGTAGACTTTCAGAAACAAATAGTAAATAGTTCAATTGGTTACATTTGAAGGAGAACCATAATCAACACTGACAATGAACATGAACACTCAGATGTTTTGAACATACACATTATATTTCTTTTTGGGGTAGGCAACATTATGCAGAGTGCAGAAAAAAAATAAGCCAAAGAAATTGAAGGTACACAAATCTTGGGTCAAAATACTACTTTCCCCTATATTTTTGTGCATATTTTACTAACACTTGACACAATATTCTTCAATGTCCTAGCTCACATTTTTTAAAAATATCTCGTTTGCTTTGGCTTTGATTCCTGACTGAAATTAAGCCAACTCTGTGAATGCTCTAGATGGTACCTGTTTAAGTTCCACTGCTTAAAACATCAACAAACCAATGGAGGCTCCATCAAAACATTGTTCTAGTCCCTGTATGCAAGCTGCAGTTGGACACTAACAGGCAGGGAGGATAAAAATTGATTTAAAAATAAAAAAAATCATTTTTTATTTTTATCAAATTTATTTTAATAAAATGCTTTTGGAGTAAAAATCTATCTAGTTTTCTATTTAAGATACATTAATAATTATTCAGCATGAAATGGAGCTTAGTTATGTAGCACGAGGCTATATATTCTGCAATATTCGCCAGAAGGTACTACCTTGTTCTGCCAGCGGGCCTGGGGAACCCAGAGCGCATGGAGTCCATTAAATAGCTTGTATGATCTCTTGTCATTGGGGCAGGAAATGGGGGATGATTTTGTTATATTGTACTTTATTTATTTGATTCTTTGTTAGTTTTTATTGTTTTAAATGTGGTTTTATATTCTGTAAGCCGCCTCGAGTCGCCATGGGCGAATAGGCGGCAATATAAATTCAATAAATAAATAAATATTGGGACTGTCGGTGAGTCAACAGAAGGTCAAAGAAGGAGCCACTGTGGGAGAGATGACAGTTGCTCTTTAAAAATTATGATATATATTGAGTTGATTTAAATCAAGCCTTTTTACTAGTGATTTAAATAGACTTGATTTAAATCAAATCCACTCTGCTATCAGGCACACCAATGAACCATAAGACAGAACCAGAACAGAGGGAGGGATATGCGCACGTGCTGAAACACCAGAAAAAAACTTTAAAAATGGATGGAAACTAATCAAGGAGAGAACCAGCCCAGAACTAAGGAGAAATTTCCTGACAGAACAATTAATCAGTGGAACAACTTCCCTGCAGAAGAAGAGATTGGACAATCCTTTTTTCTGAAACTATGCAAGATTTTCTCTGCTTGGTGGGGAGGTTGGATTAGAAGACCACCAAGGTCACTTCCAACTCTGTCACTCTATTTAAAAAAAAAACATTCAGATTACAGATAATCAGAGTTGGAAGGGACCTTGTAGGTCATCTAGTCCAACCCCCCCCCCCCAAGCGGGAGACCCTACACCATTTCTGACAAATGGGAGTCCAATCTTTTCTTGAAAGTCTCAAGTGATGAGACGCAAGTTGTCTCAAGTGATGTAGACATTCTACAGTATTGAAAACACTCTACTCCTCTAGAAACCATTGTTTTTGTTCTTTTTAATAAAAGAGACCTGCCCAAAGAGGCAATCAAAGTTGCACACACAGTCTCTTCTTGCACCATAGTCTGAAACAGCTAAAGGAAAATATGAGAAGAGGCCCATTCAGATATCATTTAGGGCACAGCAGCCGGTATGGTAACACTCATCTGGCACGGGATTCAGCTGGAAAAGCAAGTAGCAAGCAAAAAAAAAAAAAAACCTCACAACTGCACGTGCCCAGCCATCAGCTGCCACCACAGAGGATCCTCAGGGAGGAGAATATTTTCCTACAGCAAAATGCAGGCATGCACACACCTGCTCAGGATTTGGGAGCTTTGCTTGTTTCAATTGCAATTAATAAGCGGAATGACAGGCTCCCAAAGTCGGAATGGGACAACTTACCACGCCCAACTCGCTGCGAGACAATTTAACAATTCTAATTGTTTAAAGTAAATAATGTTAAGATTTGCATTTCATTCGTGGAATAACAGAGTTGGAAGGGACCTTGGAGGTCATCTAGTCTAACCCCCTGCTCCAGCAGGGAGAGCCTATTCCAAGTATTAGCCTGTACCTATTCTGTCCCTCCTTTTTGCATCCTTTTTTCCCCCCAATGATTCCATTCCACCCCTGTATTTCTTTGATAATAGTCACTTTCGTCCTGCAGCGAGTTGTCCAGCAGCAAGTTGGCTGTGGGAAGTTGTCATACACACACAGAGAGATACATGCCCCGGACCCAGTTTGGTTAATTTGGATTTGTCCTAGGGAGAATCGCCAAAGCAACCCTCAAGAGCCGATGCATACATTCCCAAACCAGTCTCTCTCTCTCTCTCTCTCTTTTTGGTCTCCATCTCTGGCACCGATTGCGCGCGTACACGTGTTTTACTCGACTTCCCAAGAAAGCAAGCCTTGCACTCCCGCCCGCCCCTCAAAGCGCGCTTCACCCACCCCCCCTTTCCAAGAGATGCGTGTTCGCAAGGACCCCCCTCCCCACCCAGCCAAGCGGAGCCACAGCCAAAAGCGCGGCGCCCGGGGTCGGTTCACACGTGCGCGGGGGTCATTCCCGGGTTTCTCCCCTCCCTCCCGTGGCGGTGGTTGTGGGGGTGGCCCTCCTCACCTTGCGCGATGGCGATGGACTCGAAGCGGTGCAGCTCCCTCAGCAAGCAGCTCCGCTCCGTCGAGTGGAGGCTGTAGATGAAGTCGCGGGCTCCCTGCGGCGTGTTGAGCGCCTCAATGGGCTCCTTCTTGGGGTGCGTGCCCAGCGGCCGCGGGGAACCCAAGCAGGAGGCCGCGGGCGGCAGCCACAGTCCGTCTACGGGCCTGGGGGCGCGGCGGAGGGCGCTCAGGCGCCGGCGGAGGAGCAGGAGGCAGCGGCACTCGCCGAGGCGAGAGGAGCCCAAGCGCAGCGCCAACCGGCAGCTCAGCCACGTCGGCGACGACATGCCGCCCGCCCGTCCGCCCGCCCGCCGGCTCGGCTACCGGCGCTGGGAAGGAGAAGGGCGGCAACGCCCAGCCGCGGGGAAGGCGGTGCTCATGAGTCTGTCCCGAGCCTTTTCTTGGCCGCCCCCTGCCTGGCGGTCCCGGCGACTCAGAGCCCGAGGACGGCTCCGGCCAGCCGCCACATCTCCCCTCAGACAGCAACCGCAGGGGCGACGAAGACCAACCAGCTCCTCCCGCCTCGCCTGTCAGGCGGGACTGAAAGGAGGGAGGTGGCCGCCCGGCGTCACGCAGGCGCACTGGCTTCACCTTGCCAATGGCCGCGGCCCCGCCCCCGCCACGCCTTCCAACCAATGGGGAGAGAGAGAAGCCTTCTCTTGTCGTCTCCACCCTCTTCCCGCTGCTCCTAATTAGATGCGGGGAAGGATGAGACTCCAGCCACGCCCACCTTCCTGCAGATCACCGCCCCCCCCTTTTTGCTTCCTTTGATTATTGTAGTTGGCTGCAAAAATCCGGGTAGCCGTTGAGTGGCAGCCCAAAGCCTCCATTTGGGGGCGATCCGGATCTTTGCAACTCAAATCAGACAACCTTCCCATCGCCAGTTCGCGCTGTCTCTTGAATGCTCTCTCTTGGGTGTGGTGGTGAATTCACCTTCGCTCCTGCTGACTTCATGGAAACATCTATATTATTTTGTTGGGAGTGGCCCAGATGTTCTGCTAAAAATACAAAGGCAAAGTCTGCACATAGGGCCATGTATGTACTGTATACATGTACATGACTATAGGGGGCAGTGCTCAGCTCCGTTTGCAGGGCATGGAGCCAGCACTGTCATTTCGGGCATGTGGCCAGCATCACAGAGCCCTGTTAGCCTCCCACCTAAGTGGTACCTATTTATCTACTCACATTTGCACGCTTTCAAACTGCTAGGTTGATAGGAGCTGCGGCAAGGATGGAGCTCATCCCATCAAGTGGCGCTCGGGTCTCAAACCTAGACAGCTGGCAGACAAGCCCAGTGCCTTAACAGCTGAGCCAACCCACTGCCCATATGTAGGAAAGTGGTTTGTAATTTTTTTTCTTTCAGAAAATTTTAATCTGGGAATGTACTAAAAAAAAAGGTCTGTCTTTTTTCCTATCTCCTTAAAGTTTTTTTTTAAATATCAGTATAAATTAGTGTCTTCTTTATACTATTACATAGGGATCGTTTTTTCTCTCTTGCATTTCTCCAATGAAGTATAGCTAAGCTATGCATCTCAGCCAAGCATTTTAATTGATACATTTCCATCTGCTTCTGTATTAAAAATCGTTAGCCTCTATCATTAGGGCTCTTGGATAATAGTTTTAAAAGTCTGGGTTTTTAAAGTAATTGATTGTGTATGTAAGAGCCCACCCTGGTGTCCAATATGAGGAAAAGCAGAATAGAAGTATTTTGTAAGTATATAAGGCATCACTCATGTATTATAGAATCATAGAATCATAAGGCAGGCAGGGACCTTGGAGGTCTTCTAGTCCAACCCCCTGCTCAAGGCAGGACACTTTATTCCATCCCAAACAAGTGGCTGTCCAATCGTTTTTGAAGACGACCTTTAATGGAGCATCCACAATTCTGCTTTCTTGATAGTAAAATATGGAAGCGTGACTTGTATCCAGGGGTGGGATACAACAGGGTTAACTACTGGTTCGGGATTTACGAGCTTCCCTGCAGGCTGCGAACCGCGCGCCTGTAAATCGTCATCAGCAGCTGCTTGCAGAGAAGCAGCCTTTGAAGCAGCCCTCTTTTCTTGTTTTTTTAACTGCAGCTGTGCCTTGTTCAGCAGCTGAAGTTGAAAAATCAGGAAATAAAGATCAGGTAAAAGCCTGGGTGAGCGGGTGGGCGAAAACATCAGAACCGGATACAGAACCGGTTCTATGTCTGCTGCTTTTCAGAGCTACCGGTTCTACAGAGGTGGACAGAACCGGTAGAACCCCCCCCCTGCTTTTATCTTCAAAATGACACCACTACGTTCTTCTTCTCTCCATTATTTCAGGGGTCCCCCACCCAGACCATGGGAGAAATGGGCAAGCTCACATTTTTTGTGAATGGAGGGCTCTTACGCTTGTGTGCAAAGCTCTGCTCGTGTGTGCAAACCTCCATTTCTGTGCGAGCACAAATGCAGCTGTGCACGCACACGTGCGCCTGCCACTCACATGACCCCACCATGCTAGGCTAAGCTGGAAATATTGGGGACCCCTGAATTATTTCATTGGTCCTCCTTATCCTGTCTTCTTCCCTACCCGCTATTTCCTGTGCAATGATAATTCCAGGGGTGGGATTCCGCTGGTATAACAACCGGTTCGGTGATCACACGCTTTGTGCACGCGCTCCACGTTAAAAAAAAAAGCTCTCACACTTATCTTCTACAACAGTCCCTGTGAATAAAACAGCTGAGGTGCGGCAAACTGCTCTGCCGTACGTATCAGCTGTGCGCTAACAAAAGGAAATAAAGCACAGGAAAGAGCAGGGGCTGGCGGGGAGGCCCACATGATCGGCGCAGCGAACCAGTTCACTGCCAGCTGATGTTCAGAGCAAAGGATTCACCCGAACTGGTCTGAATCTGTAGAATCCCATCCCTAGATAATTCACAATTGTGTAAACAGAATTTAAAATAATTTGAGAAATGCTCCAGGAAGCAATTAACCATATTGTACAGAAATCATTCATTTTTAAAGAATGGATACATTTTAGATTGTAAGAAGACAACATGTTAATCTATGGTGGCAAAAAAAAAACAGATGGAGCCTGGTAGCCCCTTTTCTGACCAACAATTTATTTGTTTGTTTGTTTGTTTGGTTCCTTCCTTCCTTCCTTCCTTCCTTCCTTCCTTCCTTCCTTCCTTC